AAAGTAATTAACCTCCCCCCACTAAATGAATCTCCGAATTCGACCTCCGAATTCGGAAGCTTGAGACGGGCAGTATAGTGTGAATTGGCTCTCAGCACTGATTCATAGTCTTGTGTTGCAGGTCAACACCCAGGCAATGTGCATGTCGCAGTCGGCGGTGGCGCCGGACCCGGGTCACACGAAGTGACTTCATGACACGGTGCTGGATCGCATGCGCGCAAACCTGCAGACTGTTCCCTCACTCAAGTGGCAGTACTATGGTGACGAGAACGGTGTGATCACGAACTTTCCCTCTGTGCCGAAGAAGGATTGCCACAAGTAGGATCCGAGATTCAGGTACGTGTGGGTACGTGTGGACATCTTACCAGGGGACCCTCAGGGTAAAAAATACACGGGAGCGATGAGCGATTCGCTCTTCAAACCTCTGAAATTTCTCCCGTGAGGCTCAAAATAGCTCCCGTAAAATTTTTGATGAGAGCTATTTTTTCCACAGACTTGAAAAAGAGCTCCCGTGAAAAAAACGTTATTTTTCCCCTGCCAGGAGTGTATAATTTATATCTATATTATGCACTTCTGATCTTAATATACGCACCTGCATGCAGTGCCATTGGCATTACTGTGGCAGCTCGGCTGTGCAGGAGTCGAAATTTTAAACTGCTTAAGACTCCGACTGCTTTAAACTGCTTTGACAGCCAAGGCTTTTTTCTATAGAAGTTTCACGTTTTCGAGGTGCAGTGATTAGCAGTTTGCATACAGAGCACGTATATCATCTATATATATATATATCTGCGATCTCTGTCCGTCTGTCCGTCTGTCTGTCTGTGGAATGGACAAGCATATTGGGTATATGGGTATTTTGTTAGTGCCTTAACTCTTCTATGCAATCTGACTGTGCCAGGTTAGCAATGAATTCACAATAACACAGATATTTTGGATTTTGGATTTTTTGGATTTTCAATTTTTTTGTTTTTTTTTGATTTATACGCAAATATCATGTCTATCTTATTCTCAATTCATTCCTAACCTGGCACAGTCACATTGCATACAGTTCAATCACGATGGGCATATAGAGCGCAGGGTCCACAGAGAGATAGAGGGAGGGAGGGAGAGAGATCGCAGATATATATCCAAAATACAAAAAATAAAAAAATCAAAAAAATCAAAAAAAT